GGGCGGTGGCTGGGAAACCTGGTGTTTGGTTTTATTTTTTTAATTTTCCATCTACCTGTATTCCTGGGAGGGAGGAGGGTGAGGAGGGGGCTGGTGTAGAAAGAGACAAAATTCCTCGAGGCGGCCGTGCGCGCCTTGGGGATCCGCGCCCCCCTCCGAGGCCAGTCGGACTCCCGCCAGCTGAGGGGTGCGAGGGCGCGTGTGGCCCGAGGTGCCCCGGTGTCCGAGGCTCACCCCGCAAACAGCCTCACCTGTCTGTAACCCGACCCGCTCCGCACCCAGCCCACGGGCCAAGAATCGACAGAGCGGTTTTCCCGGTCGTCTTCCGCCTGGCGTCGGCCTTTGGGGCCGCAGCCTGGTAACGGGTTTCTCTGCTGGGCAGGCGGATTCCCAGGGCTCACGCACGGGGGACGCAGGGGAGAGGGGCGCCAGGGCCCCAGACTGCCCCGAGGATTCACCCACTCCGGACTGAACTCTGAACCACCGCTTTAGTCAGAGAAAAACCCTGTAAGAATGACAAAGACTTTGATCCTGGTGATCCGGGGAGGAGGCGGACGTTTCCTTAGCCCTACACGGAAAGGAGGCTGCTTTCTTGGCTCGCAGGCTCGTGGCGCAGCTTCTGGGAGTCTGTGGATGTATTTTTATCTGCCAAGGAAATGGAGATTTGCTAGAACGAAGGAGCTCGGTTAAATGAAAGAGTAAAAATAAAGTGTAGCTATGAAATCACACAATTATCCCTTGTCTTTCAAAGTCTTCAAGACTTCATTAAAAATGCTTTGTTTTGAGACAGTTGAGCCTATTTATAACACACCCCCCTTTTATGGGATTCTAAATCCATGAGTACCTGGACCACTTGAGTATTTTTATTTAAAGAGATTATAGGGCAGTGGCTTATATAGCTAGAAACCTCAGAAAGCAACACAAACTTTAGGGACTTGAGAATGAAAAATAACAGGATCACTACACTTTTATTCTAAACTATTGACAACCCTCAACTGTGATTTTTGGCTTGTTTGTTTGTTTGTTTTGAGACAAGGTCTCGCCATACTGCCTGGGCTGACCTTGAACTCACCACAATCCTCTTGCCTCAGCCTCCCGAGTGCTGAAATTACTGGCGTGCACTGCTAAGCTCTACTGTGATATTTGCAGGCTGTTTCTTTGGGAAAAGGGAATTCTAATATATTGTCTTCTTTTGTTTTTTCTTTATCAGACTTGATAGAGGTTTATCAAGGTTATTGACATATAAAAAGAACCAGCCTTTGTCTTCGTTGATGCCTCCAGCAATAGGGTGTGAAATGAGCCCCAAAACCTTTAGCGTGAGGTTGGAAGGGACATGGTCCCTAAGGGGTGAGGGTCTTGTACAGCATCCCTCGAATGTGTAGCCAGGCTTGAATACTTCCAGCACCAGAGAGCTCACTGTTTCAAACATCAACTTATTCTCTGATTGGCCAACCTGATGTTGAGAAGCTTTTCTCTCTCCTGTGAGGAAATCTGCCACCTTGTGCTTCCCCTCACCTCTCTTCCCATCCTGGGTGCTGTAGAGACCATCCCACCGCACACACACTCACACGCGGGTCTTCAAATTCAGGCAGGAGTTGTCTGTTACAACAGCACAATTCTTTTTTTTTTTTGGTACAGAGGATAGAACTTGGGACCTTGCGCTTTCGAGGAAGATGGCAGAACCACTGAGCTAAATCCCTGACCATAACAGCACAATTCTTGAATCCTGGAAGCAGCTTATATGTCCGTCAACAGATGAGTGGATAAAGGAAATGTGGTAATTGCACACAATGAAGTACTACACTGCCATAGAGGGTAGACCTGAGTCATTTGTAGGAAAATGGATGCACCTTAAGACCATAATGCTAAGTGAAATAAGTCAGACACACAAGCTTAAATATCACATGGTTTCTCTTATATAAGAAACCCAAAGTATAAATAAAGAGCAAAATAAGATAGATAATAGGAAGTAGGGAAACATCTTTCCCATTAGGAAGGGGATGAAGAAATGAACCAAAAGAGACGGAGGGAAAGAGGATGGAAAAAGGAATTATGTTATATACATGTACCAACTCCACACAAGGAATGTAATCATTATGTGCTACACACATGTACAAATAAAAATAAAAGCTGGACAAAAAAAAGACTTCTGTAATATGCTAATGGATAAAAAACAGGTACAAACCCAATGGGGGCACACAGTTACAAGAGGTTAAGATGTTGAAAAAATATTCCTAAAAATATTTCGTTCGGTTTTTATTGAACCATAAAATTAGAAAAGTGAACAGATCAGAGCCACACAGCGTGATACACATTTTGAGGCGGATTCCCCTAACAGAAGCAGTGCCCCCCCAATCCAATATTAAATCAACCTCCTGCAGGCTCTACAGGACAAAACAGAAGAACTAAAGGTATAGGATTATAAAGGAAAAGACAAAACTACCATAATCTGCAGTCAGCACAATTGCCTATGTAGAAAATTCAAAATTACTTAGAATTAGTAAGAGAATTTAGCAAGGTTATGGCATACAAAATTGTGTGGGAGTGAGCATGTGCACCAATTATATTTCCAAATACTGAGACAATAAACAGTCCAATAAAATTCACTTATGACAGCAACAAAAATACGAGGCTCCTTAAAATAAATGTTTACCACAAAAAAAAAAATTTACAGACATTGGCTTTGGTGTAGCTGAGCAGCAACAGCATGCTCACCTAGAAGCTCAAAGCCCTAGGTTTCATCCCAGCACTGTGGAAGGAAGAGAAAGAAGTTGTATACCCTTGTGGATAAATTTTTTTTTTTTGGTACCAGGGATCGAACTCAGGTCCTTGAGCTTTCGAGGCAGGCGGCAGAACCACTGAGCTAAATCCCTGGCCCCCTAAATTTTGAAATTTTTTTTTGGACAACTTTAGAGAAAACATTAATCAATGGAAAATTTGCCATATTAGTGGATTGGAAGTCTCAGGAACAATAAGAAGCCCAAAATTCCCAAATTCATCTGTGGATTTAATTTTTTTTTTTTCCTTTCTGAGACAGGTTCTCACTATGTAGCCCAGGCTGGCCTTGAACTTGCAGTGATCTGGAGCTGGATGTGGTAGCACATGCCTATAATCCAGGCACTTAGGAGGCTGAGGAAGGAGGAGTGCCGCAAGTTTGAGGCAAGCCTAGGCTACACAGTGAGTTCAAGGCCAGCCTTGAACAAAGGGAGACCCTGTCTCAAAAAAGAGACCCTGTCTCAAAAAGAAACAACAACAACAACAACAAAAAACTTGGAAAAATGTCTTTTTGTGGGACCCAAGAAACTTATTGAAAAGTGTATATGAAAGAAGAGTCCAAACATCCTGATTTTGGTCTGGGGATTTAGCTCAGTGGTTTCCCCGCCTGCTTCGAAGGAGCAAGGACCCAAGTTCAATCCCCGGTACCAAAAAAAAAATCCTGATTTCCACAGGAACCAGCCCTTGACCATCAACACTGCCCCTCAGCCTGGGCTGGGCATTGTGGGGCCCCCTTGGCCCCAGGAGAGCCCACAAGGAATTGTCCAGGATCTCAGGTCCACATAAGCAGGAAAGAAGGCTGTGCCGCCTAGCGTCCACCTGCCTTCCTTGCAGTCTGGCATCCGTGGTGTCCCCTCCTGGGACCCACAGTTCTAGACTAGCAACTCCTACTCACCCTGCTACTGAGAGCCACTGTTCACCCCCACACTGATGGCGTCAAGGGCAGGTGGAGACCCGAGCTGCAGCTGCCACTCCCTTGTCCGGGTCCAGGAGAGGCTGTGACACAGCCTAGGACAGGTGGCCACTTCTGTAGCCAGTAGCCCCCTGAGAAGGAGCCAAAAAAGGACAGCAAGACCAAGGGATAGAGAGGGCAAAACCGAGTCCCAGGATGCTGCACCCAGCCCTGGCTGAAGACAACAAACAGATCCTCCTCTCTTCTCCTGTCCTCCTGCCCCCATGCCCCTGTCCCTCTATCCCCCTTTTAGTCCCTCCCTCTCTCCCAGCTAGAACTGTTTTTTCTTGCTTGCTGCCATATGAGGGCTAATCATGCTGTATCAACGTGAATGGACTAAGACCCACCCAGCAGAGGAGCCAAGCACAGTGCTAGGTGGGTGACTGACAGCTAACCAGCGAACTCGGGGGGAACCCCACCCCAGATGGAGGTGGCACTGACCAATACTTTTGTAGCCTGGAAGGAATAAAAAGGAAAAGGAGAAGGAAGTGCAGCCATTTTGGAAGAGCTCCAGTCTGTTGTTTTGGACACGGTCTCCAGTTTCTTCAACCTCCCATGGGAGACTCGCACTGGGAGACTCTACAGCAAGATTTTAGGCCTTCACCAGGGACAGGTCCTGTGTCCTAGATCTCTTATGTTCTACAGCTTCCATCTTCCTGGGCTGAGAAGCTACTGGATTCCCCCAGCTCTCCAGAATGGGCAG